GTCAGAACTTCCATAAAATGCTCTAGACGAACATCTTCAGGGAAGTACTAATTGTTTACTTTTATCTAAGTATTCAACTCAGGGGGAGACTCTTATGTTTTATGTTCTTCAAAATATAAGTTTTTGTCATCGTCAAAAAGGGGGAGATTGTTAGAACATAGTTTGGTTCTACATCTTACTTAAATAGTTTTGATGATAACAAATAAATAATATTTATAAAGAACAATTATGCTCTCTAATTGTCTCATTTGAAATGCAGAGAAATTCTGAATAAAGAGAGTACAAGTTGGCAAAGTATCTCTTAAGAAGATCTCATGAAAGAACCAAGGACAGAACATAGCAAGCTTAGACCAATTTCACGCTCAGTAAGAAGCTCTAATATTATCTTCTGAAGCACCAAGCTGCAGGCCAAAACTCTGATTAAGCTTGTTCTGATATATCAACGGTAGCAATCAAGGAAACTATGATGCATTACAATTCAATTATTATAATCAAAGAAGTAACGGAATAATCAAGACAAGATCTGTATTTTTGGAAATAACATTTACTTTCACTTATCAACATTCCAAAAATATACTTTGATGTCTCCAACGGATCTCTATCGCTGCGCCTATATAAAGGAGTCTCTCATAATCTTAAAGGCTGCTCTTCTTCACACAAAAACAATTGTAACACTCAAAAAGCTCTCTAACTTTTATATTGTTCATTGTATTGTAATCTTGTGTAAACATCATAGTTGTGATACAACTTTTTAGAAGCAATCTTTGTAACACGGTCTCTATTTCAATTTGTTTAAATTCCTTGAGAAACCAAGTTGTGGTTTAGTCTCAAGAAGACATTGACAATAGTCTTTGTGGTTTGTAATCAAATATTTTATTAGTGGATTAAGACCTCGTTGAGAGAGGCGAAACACCTTGACGGGTGGACTGGAGTAGTTTGAATTTAAACGAACCAGGATAAAATCAAAGTGTTATTTTGTTTAAGTTTTTAAAACACCAATTCAAACCCCCCCTTCCTTGTTTTTTTTTATACTTCACAAAGTACCCTTAATGCTCCAAAAATACCTAAACTACAATTGGAATTTCTAGCGCCTGGGCTGACACGGACCGTGTCACCGGACACAGGCACTCGTGTCAATGTCTGTGATCTGCTCTTTTCCAAAATTTGGCCCAGCTGAATTGACACGGACCGTGTCAGTGGACACGAGCACCCATGTCAGCGCATGTGATCCTTCCTCCAAAAGTTCATGCTCAGCTGACTTGACACGGGCCGTGTCGTGTGACACGGGCGCCCGTGTCGCCTTCTGTCTTGCTCCAACTTTACTTTTTCCAAGTCCTCCCCCTGACACGGCCCGTGTCAGGCGACACGACCACCCGTGTCAGGGCTCCTGAAGCACTTCTTCCGGAACTCTAAATTTTGTACTTTTCTACTCCGATTTATCTTGTTTTATTCTTTTGAACCTGAAAACACTAAAATACAAAATCAAAGCATAAAATACAGTAAAATAAAATAAATCACCAGTCAATTAAAAGAAACGATAACTAAAATAAATGCACAATTCTTGTGTAAAAACCATTGATCACTAAGTCTTTTAGAGGGTATTTTAGTATTTTATTATACCATAATATTGTGTATAAATAGTCTAGTAGTAGGTAGGTCAATGTATCTATTACTCCTTATTTTGTAGTTGTCATTTAATATATTCTTTCTGTCTTTCATCTCTTCTTGTGCACCAACAGAATAAACCTATAAAGATAGTTTTGGTTCGTAACTTAGTATAGTATATACCTATAAGGAAAATTTTCTAGCTTGTTGAACAACATAATGAGCATATGCAGTGCAATTATAGGGTACATTTATTTGTCCAATAGAATAATGATTATTCGTGAGTTGAACTTTTAGCTACTTACAGGTTGGATAAAATAGGTGGTTAATATGCAGTTAAACTAAGAACCAGAAATATATTTCCGAAAACTTCCGAAAATGCATTTCTGAAATAAATTAAGTCGTAAAATAAGATGTATTTCAAAAATAAAAGAATTGTATGTGTGTTGATACATCCCGAATATGCATTTTTTATTTTTGAGGGCATTCTTGAAATTTCCTGTGGTGCATTAGAAAATATGAGGTGGGTTAAGAAATCCCTTTTTATTTATAAATAAAAGGCACTTTAGCTACATATAGTTAAGTGGCATTGAAAAGTAGTCCATTTCAAATTGTCCAGTTAGCCCAAATTTTCAAACCAAAGAATTTAACATGTCACTCCCTTTTATATATGGCACCCTTTTAAAGGGTATGAAAATATTAAATTGTCTAAACTAAAAAAAAATTCAAAGAAATCCAAATTTTCAGTACCACACCGGATTTTTTAAATTCACTGGACAATATCGAAAATTTCGTGAAATAGTAAGGAATTTACGGTAGATTTGTGTAATTTCCGGTATTTTGTACCAGAAATTTCAATTTTTCCGTTATATTCTAACCGGAAATTTTGAAATTTTCAAGTTTAGTATTTACCTTTTATACTGGAAATTTGTAAATTTCTAAAACTTTGCAGCATGTACCGGAAATTCAAATATTTTTGAAAAATACCAGAAATTTATAAAATTTCCGATAGTTCACATTTTCATTCAGGTTTAGCTAGGTTAATCGACATAGTCCATGAGGGTCTATGTAAATTTTTTTTATTTAGGTTTTATTATATGTATATTTTGTGACACACAAACTTCTTATTTATTGCATAATATTTTGGCGATTACATGTTTCGAATTGATGATGAAAATAACATAAAACAGTACAACAACATAAAATAGTGTAACATGAAAACCTATGCACTACCGGATGATTCTGGACGTTTTAGCATCTTGGTTATGTCTTCGAAGGATCTTCGGATCTCCGCGTCCAACTCGATCACACCTTTAGTTATCTTACGGAAAAATATTTTCCACATGGCCTTCACATCTTCATCAGTCTTCAACTCAATCAGATTGTATTTCACCCAACCATCTGCATTAATATAATGGTCCCGAAACTCGATCTTTATCACCCTTCTATTATCGAAATCAGGCAGCAATGCATTTAACGTTTCTTTCAAAGTGGAAGAGATGTGCTGCCATCTGGAAGCTTGAACTCAACAGCAGGATTGCTTCTGTTGTAATATACTTCTGTCTTAATTAGAAATTGAGGAAGAGACATTGTTTGAGATGTTTTTCTCTATAGCATATGCCCCTATTTATACAGATGGCGATGCATTCTATACCACACAAGTTTGTCGGTGGAATCAGGACCCTCCAAAGATGTCGATAAAATCTCGACCATTAAAAAAACTTGAATAAATGAACTACCAAAATACCAAAATTTCAAATGCATTATCAAAAATTTACATAAACCAAAAAATTTGTAGAGATGTACCATAAATTTTGTCTGTACCGAAAATTTTAAATCTCTACTGAAAATTTCGTCTTAAAATTATTTATATCTCAACCAGAATAATTTTGAAATGATTAAAATTGAGAAGAGATCATGTTTAATTTGAAACCTCAATCCAATATTTAAAATATGGAAATTTAGAATAACATATTTTAAATTTTTTAAATTATAGTGAAATGGATTGAGAAATTCTACTCATTAATAATAGAAGATCTAATATTTTTTACGTAAAATCTAATTTTTAAATTTTTTTATTAATTTAAATAATTGATAGTAATATTTTTAGTTATAAAAGTAATTGAGGAAATACTTTTCTATCCTATCAAAGCTCTGATAAAAATTTAACTAGAGAGACAAAATATGATCAAATAACCTAGTTAATCTTTCATATCCTACTAATTTTCTATATGATACTTTATTCTATTATGATTCTCATGTGATTACTATCAAATAATATATTTAAAAAATCGCTAATAAGACTGTTTAAAAAAACCGTCAAACCGAAACAAATTACTTAAGTTAAAATAATAAAACTAATGTTTAGTTAGTGAACAAAAATCTGCACAGAAAGTTTTAAAATTGAATCAAATGACGATAAACCAAACTAAAATAGAAAGAAAAATAAAACTTAAAAATAAGTCTAACATTTTTTATTAAAAAAATCTGAAAAAAAATAACAATTCGATTCTATAAAAAAAATTAATCCATTTTGGAAAAAACAATCTTTTAATACATTTGAAATTTATATATAAAATCAATAATTTTGATTGCTTCAGTTCTTGATATATTGAAACAATTTAGTTTAAATGCATATTTTATTATGGTCATGTTCGATTCTATTTTCGGTTGCTATGTTATTATGAAAACTCTTTTATTTGTAATTATTTTTATAAATGAATTTTAAACTTTTGTGATATCTTCTCACCATATATTTTTTTTAAGTGTACCTTCCTCATAAGATCTCTCTTATCTGAAGAGCTAAATTTTTTTTTTTAAAAGAAAGACACAATTTCAAACACTTCTTTAGATTGGTTACAATTTATCTCCACTATCAATTATGGAATAAGTTAGAAACGCATACGTTTTGTGTTATTTAGGAGTTTATGTTTTATCTAATTCATGTCAGTGCAAGCAAGGTGTCTGCACGCGTTAACTTGTGCAGCAAGTAATCAACCATATGCATGGTGTTGGACAAATGTTTGCTTCTAAGAAATGCATTCCATGTTATTCAACCCTCTACTCTTATTTTTCATTCTTCGATGTGATACTTTCTTCGTTCTTTTTTAAGTGACACTTTTTGACTTTTTACATATACAAAGAAGACTAATAAATGCTACTACATTTTAAACAATGGTGATTTTTTGTCCTATATTACCATTAACTTTTTATTAATTCCATTGTTCTTTGCCATCTGAAACTTGCCACCCTCAGACCTAGTAGGATGCAGATGCAGTGGCCTTGAGTTGGAGTCAAGATAACGAGGAACCATAACCATAACCATAACCAATGAGCAAATAAACATAGGTATTGGGCCGGAAAACCAAAGAAGCAAGTTTGGCGCGAATTAGAGCTCAGAGACCGAGAGACCAGAAATCACCATCTCTTATGACTGCTAATTCGACACTAGTAATTGGAACAAAACTATCTGGTATGCTTATCAAATAGTTTGCATGAACAAAGTGTCTTGCTGATTGAATAAAGCATGAAAAAGCAAGGAGAAAGCATGTTAGTAAGGAAATGTACTTGATGGAAATTGTGGTTGCACTTGTGTCACCATAGATCAATTGACTCTGGAAGAAAATATTGGAGTTATTGGCAATCCAAGCCCCAATTAGAGAAGAAAGAGTCAAAGAAACTGAGGCCAAGAATGTTGCAGCTGATGTGTTGCATTGAATGACAGATAGAGCTGTGTTAACATCTGTTTTTTCAGCCTGATCATTCATTACAAAGTGTTTAAAAACAAGGTGGTTCAACAAATATGTGTCAAAAAGAAAAACTAATTAAAACATTATCTGGTGCTTATGCATAATGTACTCAAAGAAATAAAGTATCAACCGAAACAAATGCTGACCCGAGCCTCACATGTGAAATGTGGTCCTGGTGTGCCCACTCGAGCTCAAGGAAATAAGTCCCAACATGGCAGAATATAGAAAAGAAAATTATGGACCTATCTATCATAAAAGGAAAATTTTTGCACTACTCCATGATGCCATTATTTCTATTCCCCCCAAAATAGGGCACACGTTAGCAAGATCCCTGCTGTTTTCAGTTGATACATAACAGAACGGGGAAAACAATCTCAGGGTAGCGGCCTACCTAAATTACACAATCACTCAAAGCTGATCTAGAAAACAAATAGGTTTTAATTTACAAAATAACAATGCCAACAAACCTTGCATCACATTAGAGATGTCTCTAGTTTTCCGGATAATCCTGGATGTGGGCTATAGTCAACCTGCATAAACATGCATTCCCTTAAAATACAATAGGCTGTTAACAGCTTGTTGCGTAGATTTAGTCGGGTAATTCAATAATCATTAGTTAAACCAATACTAATATGCTCCCTCCAATCACTATTATAAATAAAAATCCACTTTTCAGATTTATTGAGTAACCGATGTATCTGGTTTATACATATAGACCAAATATATTGATTGTTCAATAAACTTGAAAAATGAATTTTTGCTTATAAAATGGATCGGAGGGAGTATTCATCATCTTTGAAAGTGGAAAAGCGTAAATGGAATTTTCACATCATTTTCCCTATATGAAACCGGAAAGTATAAATATGACGTTTCCACCAAAAATGGCATTTCATATGATGTCAATATGCCATTTATTATTTGATAGGAAATTCAATTAAACATACCCTGCAAAAATCAATGCTAAATAAAGGGATTAAAGAATCAAAAGGACGCATGATGATGTTTAAATGGAAATAGATTTAGCAGAAACAAAACCAAGAACCATTGCTCAAAATTGTAAGTTGTTATCAATGATGCCTAATTAGTTCCAGAAACCAGGCAATACCTTTACACAGCTAAGGTTGAAGGGACAATTTTGACAAGGAGGGCCAATGGCAAAATGCAGCTGAGTTGTTTCTTGGGCCCAGTTTCCGGTGATTACCACAGATAGTTTATCCGGACGACAAGCCTTTAGGGAAACACATACCATGAGTCCATGATGCAGTAAGCTAATTCATGGCTTCATGCTGGTAAGGAATTAGCAATAGATCATCTTCAGCACAGCAGTACAGATGTAAGCAGTATGCTCTAGTCAGCCTTTTGATTCATAAGTTTTCAGAATATTGATTCAGGATCTTCATCCATTAGATTCTAGGCCAAAAACTTAATTTGAAGATTTTCCAATCAATCTTTGTGGGACGGCTTAGGCAGTTAGATGGCAGTAAGAAATGGATTTCCATTTCTTTGTTACACCATTAATCCGCTCCTTCATCAAATCAGCACAGCATCACTCTATTCTATTTCATTGTTAACTCCAACCAAAGTCAACGAAATGCGGAGTAACAATAGCAGCAGCAACTTCCAGAAGCATCAAATTCAGTTAAAGTCACAGGCCGGCAGCATAAAATTTTCTGTAATGGATCCTGCAATTGAAGATGTACACCATTTTAAAATGAATAAATAATTAGAGTCCTTTTATTCGAAGTTTTAAATTTGATACCAGCTTCTTTTCCAGAAATGTTTATCACTACAGAAAAAAATATTGACCCCAAAATGTACAAAATAAGATGTAGATAATCAGTTTAGTGAAAGCATCATCCTCATAATGAAGAAGTGTGACACATACATACTATATATTACATTAGAAGGAAAGTTTAAGAACTTACTTGATTGTACTACAAACCAAAGCAATGATTGATTGGTATTCCAAGCATAATCAACATGGGAGTAAGCCGCTTTAATGTCTGCATTTTTAAGACAAAATAAAATGATATATTTAAAACTAGACAACTTCTTGTTCATACTATTAGACAATTATATCCATTGTCCCAAAAAACAAAGAGATTTGTACTCGAATAATCATAACCTGAAAATGTGAAATAAAATGTTTGCTTTGAACTCAGCGGTTTAATTGATGGAAGTGTCCATATGACCATGTACAACAAACTGAACCAACTTCAAGCTTACTAAATCCATTTTTCGTCAACTACAATGCCAGGGATGTGGGAAGTTTGCGGGTATTTCACGCGGTATTGTTCTTTCAGCAAAGGACATGCAGAGATATTAAGTTCTATTAGAGCAGCAGGCAGCCTTTTTCCCACTATATTCTCAAGCTTGGGACAGTATTTAATTGTTAATTTTTGCAGGGAAGTGAGGTGGAGAAGCCCCGTGCAATCTTGCACAGTCATATATCCGCAAGTAGGTAAGGGAGGGAGGCAGCAATGCATAACCCTTCTTGGGAAAGTACTCAACACCATCACAAGGACCATCAATTTCAAGACTGGTAGTGATTTTAAGTTTACACAGTTGGAGAAATACAATGATGTCAAGTTGGGTGCAGACAATCCTTCTTTTGGGAATGATACAAACTTGGAGCAGTCAATAAGTTCAACCTCAACGAGATTTTGAAGAACCTTTCAAACGGAAAGACATTCTATGTTTTCACAGTTGTTTATTTTCAGAAGATGGAGGTTGGGAAGAGTATCCAGTGGGAGGGTTATGTGAGAATCACAACTACTACTTATACAAAGATACTTGAGTGATTCATGCCCGTGATTTTGCATTGGGAAATCTAGATTATTAGAATTTGTCATGGAGAAACTCTCTAAGGATAAGGGTAAACAATCTCTTGGAAACGATATCGCAGATGAACAATCTTGGATGGCTAATATTTTAAGAGAAATTGGTGGGGTGTTGGCAATGGCTTCAAAGACAGACTCTGTCACCTCTCTTCCTCCAACATTTAACTCTTCCATTGAAAGGGGTAGCTCATTCAAGACTACTTTATTGCTTTAAAATATGAATAAATTGCAGATGGAAGGAGCCCTTGGGAGAGAAGAAACAAGCTGGTTGCATCCTCCAATATCAATTGTTTCCAAAACAGGGAGATAAGATGGCAAATCCCCATGTAATCTGGGACAATCGTTAATCACAATAGACTTCAATACTGGAAAATAAACATTTGACTCATGAGGATGATGCCCACTTTCCAACATGACATCTTAACAAACTCCAGACGTTCAAGGGAAGGAAAGTATGTCCCTGGAAAGGTATTGTCATATTCAGATCCAATAGTCTCCAGCATATCCATTTCACTGATTCTCAAGACCTTGAGAGAGCATAATTGTCCAAGTGATGGAAGGATACAACAATTCAAACAACCAGACAGAGATACCTTAGTCAAATTTTGGTAGGAAGGATGTCCAACCCATTCAGGAAATAGTGTACCCCTGTATCCATGAATATCTAGCCTTTTCAGGTTCTTGGTAGGTTGTAACTTTCCAAGTATATCCATCTCACTTTGTGAACTTGTAAAATGGTTCTTTGCATCTTCAGACCATTCAAACGATATTTTATCAAGGTACTTTTTATCCATTATCTTTGCCTGTGATGCTTCAAAGCTGTTGGTCACGTTCTCTAATTTGCTAATGGCAAGTGATCCGTGAAGATTCGAAAGTGTTCCCAATTCCTTGATCCCTTTCTCTTCCTGCTTTCCCACGACAAACCAACCCAAATGTTGCAAATTAATCAATTTGCTCATTTCTCTAGGCATCTCTTTTAAATTAGTTCCCTAAATTTCCAGATTGTGCAAATTTACAAGATTTTGCATGTCATTGGGAAGCCTTGTTAGATTGTTACAATTGAACAACTTTAACGTTTGTAGATTATACAAGTTACATAATGACTCGGGTAAAATCTTTATAGACGTGGAAGAGAGATCCAAATAACGCAAATGGATTAGTTCATCTATTGAATCAAGAAATGCATCAAGACCTTCAAAGTTGCCAAATTTTAAAACTCTCAAGTACTTCAATTTTGACAAAATGGAGCATGAAGCCTTTTCTTTGTTGAATGGATCATCCCATAAATAGATTGGCGAGATTGTTCTTAGACATTTTATTCTGCCGAAAATATCAAAGTTTGCTGAGATTGGATCACTGAACTTGGAAAATGACAAATGACGAGTCTTGGTAGCAATCTTAGTATCTTTCCCAAGTACTTCTGTTCTAAAATAGAATTCTCCACCAAGCCATGTTGCCAAATCATGCACCAGAACATGCATTACAAAATGTTGGTTGAAGTTCCCGCAACCAGAATGTTGAAAAAATGATTTAGAAGCTAAGTCATTAAAATACCCAAAACCAACTTCTTCTAAAGTCTTGCTATTTTCTAAAGGATGTAAAAGATCCTCCGCCATCCACAACAAGATTAATTCATGTTTATCAAATTGATAATCCTTGGGAAACAATGAACAATATACAAAGCAACGTTTTAAATATGGAGGGAGATAATGATAACTAATTCTCACTCAATGCTGGAATGATCTTACTCTTATTCTCCCAGATATTATTATTAAGTATACTATTTGAATCCCTGATTTCACGTTTTTCTCGCAACAAGCGCCCAAGTGACTGTGCTGCTAAAGGCAATCCCTTACACTTCCTAACGATCTGTTTGCCAATTTTTTGGAGATCCATATTCTCATCTGGTGAAAGGCAAGCATTGTTTGCAAACACTGACCAACAATCTTCATCAGACAATTGGTGAAGAGAGTAAGGTTGAAAAGTTTGAACCATAGAAGCAACTTTTTCACTACGGGTAGTTACAAGAATTTTACTTCCTATAGTTCCATATTGAAGAGGCTTTAAAAGAGAATTCCAAGAGTCCCAAACATCCAAAACAATCAAGAACCTCTTTCCAGTCAACTTTTCCTTCAAATCTCGATGAAGGATATTCAAATTATTTGTGTCACAAGCACTTCCCACTTCCTCTGCGATGAACTTTGTAACCTTCAAAACATTGAAATCATCAGAAATACAAACCCATGCTTAAACATCAAATTTGTGCTTTATATCATCATGGTTGTACACATACTGGGCTAAAGTTGTTTTTCCAAGGCCACCCATGCCAACAATGAGAATGTGATCAGCAAGATAGAGAGCATCTTTGAGATCATCAAGCCAGTTGTTAACAGCAGAGTCATGAATCTGCTTCTGTTCAGCATCGTTAAGCACCGCTTCAACAGCGTAAAGAGTATTCTTCAACCGTTGAACCAAATTGACGTCAATTTTCTTCCCACGGATCAAGTCAACAACCTCAGGAGAACCAAGCCTGTCGATGACAACTTCAGTGAAAGCAGAAAGAAATGCTTCACCAACAGCTACCACCGCCATGATCAAGATCGAGAAGATTAGATTGGAGAGGAAGAGAGGAAGTTAGAGATTGATTTGTAAATGCAATAAAGTAATAAACTGGTCTAAAACAAAAGTGTGTAGTGCTCTATAATATTGTCACTCTTGCTTGGCACATGCTGTGAACACACTCTTGCTGTGCACACATAGTTTGCAAAAACTGACCTATAATCCTCATCAGATAATTGATTGATGAGATTGTTAAAGAAGAGAGACAATCACAAATTGATTGCACGTATGCACTACAGTTGAAAATTTAGTTAATTAAATTTACAACAGATTTTATAGTATCAACCGACCTTAGCTCAGTTGGTAGAGCGGAGGACTGTAGTTGGAGTACCAAGCTGAAATCCTTAGGTCACTGGTTCGAATCCGGTAGGTCGGATTTTTTTAAATTTCTATTTGAATTTTTTTTTTACTCTATTAAAGGAATCTTGAGACCACTTTTAAAATGGAAGAGTGATAAGTAGTTTTAATGTTTAGTTCAACATTGTGTGTTTAGGAAGAACTGACCTGAGAAGCAGAGCATGAGCACGAGCATCTCCTTGTTTTGAGAAGTGAGGCAAAAAGTTTCCAAACCATAGGTGAAGGTATTACTTTACAGGAAAGGTTATAGCTGCCCTCTTTCTCTTCACCCAAACCATGGCATGGGGAGGGACCCTATCTTTTTCTTTTGGTAAGATGAAAATTTATTTTTGTTTTGAATATAAAATTTATATTTGAATTCATTACTTAAATGATTTTAACAAATTCGATAATCTAATATATTAGAATGGGATTTCAAAAGTTTTGAAAATTTTATAAAAATTTGTAGGATTATATTGATCTTTTCAGACATTTTTTTACAAGGTAGTTTTCAAATTTCTTGTTTGAATATGTAGGATTATAAATTTCATCCTTATTTCTAGTTATTTGTGGATCTTATCCTTTAACAACAAATTTTCATACTTTATTGTCTATGGATTTAATAAAAGTCATCATTTGAGTTTTTCAATAGTCATAATTGATTCCATCAAGAATGTGTGGTCTATTTGTAAATCCGCATTCCTTGTTCATTGTATCATAAAGTAACTTTCCTGAATCTAACCTAGAGTTAGATCAAAAAGTCTGTTCTGATACCAACTGAAATTTTGGTAGTCAAATCTCAGACGTCCTAAGAGATGTCGAGATATTGATCTCTGAACAATAACGCAATGAACAATTTAAAACCACAATTAACAGAGCAGAAAGTAGAAAGAGCACACAGAGTGTTAATCCAATTCGGTGTACAACAACATCTACTCTGGAGACTACCAAGCTAGGGACGAAGTCAACTAGATAGTATCAATTTGTAGATCCACAACAAACTTTCACCTAATTTACAAGCTACTCACTTAATCACTACCCGTGCTTAACTTCTACCTAAGACTCACCTAGGTATGAGACCCTTCTCAAATCCCTTTCAATCACAATAGTGAATAAAAAAATCTAAACAACTTAGGACAATTTTAGAAGACACACTTCAAAGACACACAATTATTCACTGCTTAAAAGCTTAAGAACGATTGACAGAACTTACAACTCAAAGAACAGTTATACTCTTGTATCAAGATCATATTAGAGAGGCTCACAAATAACACAAATAAACCATAACAAAAACACACGTAAGTTTCACACAGTATTAGGATTGAAGCCTTCTTTTTATAACCTTGAATGAGTTGCATTTGGGCTTCAAAAACGCAGTTGATCTGTTGCAGAAAATCAGTAGAAACTTCTGCACGAAAATAAGACTCCAATGATTTGATTTCTAAAGTGTCTCAACATTTGTTGAAACAAATTAATCTTCTAAATACATAAGGAATATCTGACTCTTCAGTCTTGAACGACACAAATAATATCCTAGTATTCTCAGAATATTCAGGATCCGTTAAAATATAACAAATCCAAGTGAATAGCTGTAACAAATAAGATGTCGGATAACCTGGATAGGACATTGTATCCGACATGTTCCTCATGCAGGTTTAGAACATCTTATAACACATGTGTGTGTTAAGTTAGTTTTATCAAACATAATGCCAATCACAAAGAAATAGAGAATTAACAATCTCCCCGCTTTGGCTTATTTTGGCTAAAACTATGTAATATTCCTTGCATACATAAACAACAAAAACAACTTAGGTTTGAAAATAACTCAAACATGAATATCATTAGAGGTACAACAGCAGAAATCAATTCAACAGAGATATGAGCTACAACAATGTCAAAGTACCAGCTAGAGGAAGTTACTCAACACAACAATCGAGAGAAAAATAAATTCTCAACAATTTCAGGACATCATGTTGTTTGACAACTCTTCACAGCAGTCCAATCCAGAACTGGGACTCCCCTCAAAAACTGCTAAGTAACACTTCAAAGAATATAAAATTCTCCCCCTCAAAATCAGGATCAGTGGTTAGATCACACACGCAAATTACTCCCCCTTTTTAGCCATAATATGACAAAAGTGAGTATCTGATCAAGCAATCACAATAGCACATTAGCACAAATGCTAAACCCTTACACATCCTGGGCATTTAACCCTTGCAAAATCATAAAGTAATAAAAATAAGTACACAAAGCAAAGCCAAAATGGTTTACAGAAGCGGAGATCATGCATTAGCATCACCACCAGCAACAACCTCATTCTCTTCTCCTTCTCTATTATCATAAGCACCACCAGATACAACAACTTTACTACCTGCAACAACATCATTACTTTTGTCAGTAGGGTCTTCACTTGGGAAGATATCACATTAATGTCTGGAACAGGTGTTCCACCTGACAGTCTATAATGCAAAGATAAAGGAGAATCCCTTTTCTTGATACTATCCATAGCCAATAAAATACCAGGATGCAGGATTTTATTGACTCACACTAATAGAAGTAATTGCTATAATTCCTCATAGATACAAATCCCTAGTCTCCTTCGTAAATTTTCAAACTGAACTACATCTAGAACTTTGATAAAAATATCAGTAAGCTGATTTTTAGTGCTAACATGCTCAAGAGTTATAATTTTGTCTTCAACAAGCTCTCTAATGAAATGGTGTCTGATATCAATGTGCTTAGTCCTACTATTCTGAATAGGATTTTTTTAAATGTTAATAGCACTCAAGTTGTCACAAAATAATGTCATAACATCTTGTGTGACATTATATTCAGATAACATATGTTTCATCCATACAAGTTGAGAGCAACTACTTCCTGCAACAATGTATTCAGCTTCAACTGTAGATAGAAATACAGAATTTTATTTCTCGCTGAACCATGAGATCAAATTATTTCCCAAGAAGAAACATCCATCGAGGTACTCTTCCTATCATCAGCACCTCCGGTCCAATAGGCATCCCAATATCCCACAAGTACTGAATTTGAGTAATGAGAATATAGAATTCCATACTCACATGTGCCATTTACATACTTCAGAATTCTCTTGACTTTATTGATGTGACTCACTTTGGGTTCTGCTTGATATCTAACACAAACTGCAACAGCAAAAGCTATATCCGACCTTCTTCCAGTAAGATACAAAAGGCTAACAATCATGCTTCTATATAAACTTTGATCAACACTCACTCCCTTTTTATCTGTGGATAACTTCAAGTGTGTAAGAGCATGAGTTTTTTTATGGCTGACATTATCCAATCCAAATTTTTTCACAATATTCTTAACATATTTGCTTTGATAAAGGAAAATGGAGTCTTCCATCCGCTTGACTTGCATCCTGTGATCGGTGGATCTGGAACTGACTGTTTAGCGCTGGTTCGCGAAATGTCGCGGAAGCAAGAGTCGCCACCGTCTTTTATTTTCTCCAAATGGAAAGGACAAAAGCACAGAAAAATTCCTTAAAGAGATTGCTCTCGGTTCGGGAGGTAGATTATAGAAAGGGAAGGTGTTAGCACCCTTTCTATCCATGGTTATCCATGGGCTCTTAGATACTTGTTCATTTGTGTTTTCAAAATTATTTGTTTGCTTTTCAACTGTGGGTTTTAAAAAGTTTCTTTGAAAATTCCAGTTCGACTCTTGTATCGGTCCTCAAGAGTGTTTGAAAAATTGCTTTCAAAAGCTTTTTGAAAAGGTGTCGGTGTGAAAAGTATTTTTGAACTTGTTTTGAAATTTAGAGCAAGTATCTAGAGTCGTCTACCTACCCTAAGGAATTCGTCTGTGTAAATGTCCTTGAAAGTAATGCCATCCCACCATTGAGAGGTAGGTAGCACCACCGTTGGAGGTGTTCGGGTCAATTCGAGGTTCGGGACATGGTGATCACCGGAGCAATGGGAAGACACCTTAGAAGCTACCCTCATGCCAGGTTCCCGGATCATGAGGACTTACTAAGACATCCTCTACTCGACGATCACCTTTCGAGGCAAGGCAACAGTGAGGCGTACCCCAGGGGTGGTGTGTGATTTGTGTGTCATGTTCATTTGCATTTATCTTGTTCATATCAAAGTGATCTATGCGTTTGTTTTTATTTTATCATTCATTCTTGCATGCCATCATTATCAGTTAAAAAGTGCGGAAAGATAAAATTCCTAAACTATTACAAAGGCGCGGGTCCACATCGCCAAATTTAATCCAGGACCCGATTTGACAGAAAGTAAAATAAGTGCGAGAAATAAAATGTCCGAGTTTACAAGGCTTTGGGAGAGGTACATAAATATTATAAGAAATAAAATAAAAATGCGCGAAACAAATTAATAATCGAAAGCGAGGGCGTTGGACCCTTTTTAATGAAATTAAAGTATATTGAGCAAGTTAATTAAATTAAAATAAAAAAAGAAATTATTTTTGAGTTTTTTGGAATTGTGAATTTTTAATGAGAAGATTAGCTGAAATTAAAATTAAATTAACCCTAATTCTATCACTTTTATTTATTAAGAAAAAAAATATTAAAGTTAAACCTAAATTAACCTAATTAATTAAAGCAATTTGATTTATAAAAATAAATAATTAATTATTAGTGA